CTCCCTGAAATGTCATTGATGATTGCAGTGCATTCCTGAGGAGGAACATCATTATTCATCCACTTCTTTGTTTTTATTGGTTATAATGGTACTAACATTTTTACCTCTAACACCTATGTCTTTTGTTAGCTTTATATAATATATTAGTAACTTTATTATGTTTTATTATGTACAATATTTTTAGTCATGGGAGCCATTATTACATTAACAGATTTATATAGGCTTGCTAACTCATTGGCTATTGTTTTATTATTTGTTAAGGATGGCTAGAGCATGATTTATGGTTTCTCTCGTGAAATTTTATTCCTCTTAGTAACTAGTCTTTGCATTTATTGCTGATTCTTACCCAATGACATCATCTATGATCAGATTCTATTACCACATCTCCAAGTTCTACATAACTAGATGGCTCCATTGGTCACTTTTTGTGATCATTGTGTTGCATAAACAATTATAAATATATTTTTTGTAGCTGGTGAGCCTGACTTTTTCCAATTTACACCACAACAACAAAGTGGACATTAGGCTATCCCACTGGATGTGGTTACGGCACTCGATAACCTAATGATTATGCTAACACTCACGCACACATTCATTTGGAAGCTCTATATTGCACATCAGATCAGCACTTGCTGACTATGCACTTGGATATAAAAGTTTACTTTATAGTACATCATTCCACACCAGTACAAGATCATATCTCTTTTGGTTAAGAGTGAAAGCTTGTGACCTACGGTGACTAATATGTGCATTTGATTAATTGAAATTCATTCTGCAGATCTTATGTCTGGCTCTGATGTGCAAGCCCATAAATGCCAAAAGTGTGCAAGTTTAGCTTTCTATTCATCTAATATTAAAGTGGATGAAAACATAATGAGACTATACCAGACAAATGAATGGAACATACTAATGCATTACACCATCACACCTGGAAATTTGAACAGTTTTTAATATTAGTAAATCACAAATTTGTTCTTTGTTGCATACAATCTACATAAAGAGTGACTAGAGCGTTAGTTGTTTTTTCCCCTGCCCCCTGAGCAACTATACTTTGTTTTTCTACTTTACAAAACTCCTATTACTTATTTTATTTTTTATTTTTTATTTAAGGATGCTAGCTAGAATCTGTTTTTATTATCATATTTCCCAGGTCTTAGTATATTTGTTTATGCAACGATTGCGTTGCATAAACAAATATACTAAGTAAAAGATAAAAATGCTTTAGTGCTGAACAGTGTTCCAGTTGATCATCATTTTATAAGTAGCAAGAAAAATTAATTTTAAGGAATTAAAAACTCTTGATTAAATTGTTTTTAAGAAACTAAACCCTTTTTCTACTATAACTGTGAAAAGCAAGTTTTTTATATTGGAAAAAATGTTTTTCTTTTAATTGTTCCACTTTAAACCTTTTATCAATTTAAATAGATATTCTGCACCATTTGTGAAGTATTTACTTTTTTTTGGTATCGAACTACACAGGGGTTTATGACTTAAGAAAAAAAGAAACTAAGATGTGTCCTTTGTTGGGTTGTAAAACTTTACTGTTGTTAACCATCTTGAGTGTGAATATATGCCAGGTTCATAAACAAATAAATTTTCGGAACAGCTGCTTGATTTAAAAGCTGAGCTTATTTAGAACAAGAACTGTCAATTTCTAGAATTTCACATATATCACTGAAAAATTTTACTACTGGTGATTTCTTGCATTTATTAAGCTGTGCAACAATGTGACCACTATATGATTTTCGACACTGATGATGACTTTTTTTATTTCTCAATGCAATACTTAGTTCTACTAATATTTAGTTTTTAACTTATTGTTATAGAATTTATTTTAATTCCAGTTAAAAGCAGATTAAAAGCAGATATTTTTTCCTCAGATACCCTAGAGGCAAGTATAGCAAATAAAAAAACGCTTTTTTTTTGTGCTTGACACAATTCTGATTTGCAAAAAAGTAAGTATAGCAAATAAAAAAATGCCTCTTTTTTTGTGCTTGACACATAGCCCTGAATTGCAAAAAAGGCATTCAGTTGTAAATAAAGGGAATAAGTTTTGGACTGGAGTTAATTTTAAGTTATCTCTGCAAAGAAATGTACAAGGAGGTTCGTAATTGTCTCATTTTGAAGCCATCCTTAAATTATATTTGAAAAAATCAAAAAAAAAAATTTTTTTCTTTAATAACTATTAAACAATCCCAAAATATAAAAACATTATAAACAATTTGTATAAGTTTGCGAAAATAATGCAGATGAACAAAAAGAAGTCTATTGAAACTAACAGATCATTGGAAAAAAATAATCTTGCGGTAGACCTGTTATAATTGAATCAAAAGCCAACATTTGATGTATTAAAAAAAAGTTTAATCATCGTTCTGGATATTTCCAAAATTATGTTGCCAAACAGTTAAAATGTCATCAAAGTTACGTTTCAAAGATTCTAAATAAAAGAACTAACATTAAGTATCATAAAAAAGTAAAAGACTACTTCTAATCAAAAGAAGCAAGCATGACCAAAGTGTTGAAAAATGTTATTTTTAACATTTAATATTTGTTAAAAATAACATTTTTCAACACTTTGTTAAAATAACAAAATCAATATTTTTATATTTTAACAATATAAAAATATTGATTTTGTTTTAGACGATAGATTGTTTTTTACTTTAACTCATTCTATGCAGCCTGGTAACTTTGGTTTTTATTCAAATATTTATCTGGTTCCTCCGCATGTAAAGTTTGATTTTAAAGCCTAATATGAAAAAAAATTATTGGTTTGGCTTTGTATTTCACCAAAAGGCGTATTAACACCATTTTTTATTCCAAACAGTCTACCTGGAAACCATAATTAAAAAGTATTTGGTGCCTTTTATAAATAAATTTTATAGTACAAGAGAGTACTTTTTTTGGCCAGATGAATTACCTAAATGACCAAAAAATCAATTTTTTATCAAAATTTATCAATCCTGCATATGTCCCTAAAGCACGGCCAATAAAAGATTTTTGGGGAAACTTAAAAAAAAAAGTTTATGAAGGCAAATGGACTTTAAAGAATCTTGACGAGTTCAAATCTAGAATTATCTACTGTCTTGAAAAGAGATCTTGCATTTGTACAAAACCATTTTTTGGGCGTTAGGAAAAGATTTAACCATTTGAGAAGGCATGGTGTCTAATTTTTTTTTCTTTTCAAATACTAAAAAAAATTATTTTTTTATTATTATCTTTAAGTTTTGAATTAAAAAAAAATTTTCCGAAAATAAGGCTTTTATTCCAGTCCAAAAACCTATTCATATTTCTTTAATTCTTCCAAAATATCATATTGAAACAAGAAAATGGTGTTATGGAAACTTTTGTGTGGTGTTTAGGGCTAAACCACACTAAAGTGTACCATGAAATGTGTACCATGGACCTTAAGCTTTAAACAGGTGTTACTGCTTAAACTTAATTTCTAATTTACTTCCAAAATAAATTTGCTTTTCTATAATTCTAGAAATAAAATCCTTAATTTTTAATTTAGAAAAATTATTTTAGGTACTGAAGTTGGCTTTGGTAATTTTACAACAACTTGGAGACATATAATGGTAGGATTAGAATCAAGTCTTATTGTGTTTCCGATAAATTTATTGTTAGTTTTTTTGTTTCGATATGGTAAACCTAATTCACTAGAGTGCTCAAAAAAACAAGTCAAAGGAAAAAATTCAGTTGTTACCAATACAAACTCAGTTTTGAATGTACTTGGTGCAAAAAATTCCAACTTGGTTCCAATAAATCACAATTTAACACAAAATCCCAACTCACTTTCAATAAACTATGACTGTGCACAAAATTCCAGCTATGTTTTAAGAGACTACGATACTTTACAAAATGCTGAACTGTCCACTAATTTTAAACAAAATACCATCTCAGTTTCAAAAGAAGTTAAACAAAATCTTGATTCTGTTTTAGAATCTATTGGTACCATACAAAATGTTAATTCAGTTTTTGAACCTAGCATTTTTAATGTAATAAATAAAGAATATCATGATTTACACAAAGTAAATTTATCAGTTAAGGAGTCTTATTTATCTTTTGAAGACAATAATAGTTTATTTAGTTTGGTCAACAATTCAGACGACAATAGTTTATTTAGTTTGGTTAACAACTCAGTTGTTAATGAATTAAACAGTTTAGACACATTAAGTCTCTGTTTAGATAAAAATAGTAAATCTAGTTTTAAAATGCGTGAGTATTTATCAGCTGTAGATTTATCAACTCATGCTTTTGATGAGTGTTCAAATAAAGTTATGCAATTAAAGAAACCTGAAATTAAAAATGAAAACAAGCAAAAATATTTTCTTTCGGGCAACGAATGTTTCCAGACTTCTAAAGAAGTTTATAAAACAAATGAACCTAATAATGATGAATTTTTGTTTGACTCTATTTATGAATATGAAGGTAAAATTTCTGATAAACAAAAGAATGTCATTCATTTTTTTGATAAGTTAAAATTTTTAACTGCATTAGATAAGAGTGGACCCAATTTGTTGAACTGTACTGCTTGGTTTCTGTGTTTCGCAATTTGTTTTATTTCAACATTTTTTACATTACTATATGGATTGAGCTTTGGTCGAATTGGTCAAGAAAGATGGTTGTTTTCTTTTTTTACATCAGTATTTTCTGATATTTTTCTCAATCAGCCATTGAAGGTGAATATGTTTATTTGACTTGTGTTTTTTATGATTAAATAATAATAAAGATGTTCTTATTACTCATTATTTGTCATTTTTAGTGTTACAGTCTCTTTGTTGTTGTTGTTGTTTTGTTTTTTATTTTTTTGTGCTTTTCTTTCTTATTTATTTTTTCTTTTCGAATTCCAGCAGTTTACTCTTCTCTGTCTACAGTCTCTCAATATTTTCTCTGACAAAATCAAAATTGTTGTGTTTATTATTTGTGCAATATATTCTTTTTCTTGTTTATTGCTAGTACTAGATGTAGCTTAAATATATACATTTTTTAATTGTAAATCTCAAAAATAATTTGATCAAAAGACATTTTGTTTAGCACTTTTTTTAACACTGATTCAACTACAAGTTCAACTCCTTGAAAATAATTTGGCGGATGACTATATTGAGTAGTATTATAAACAATGGTTTGCAGGGCCGACAATACCGGGGGGCCAGAGGGCACATGTCCCCCTCCCCCCTACTTCCTTTCCATTTACAATGGTTTGAAAAAGATTTTAGTTTAGGAAATTACATTGTACACATAGTTTTAGTTAACTATTTCACAAAGAATTATCCTCTCACAAAGAATTTATCTTTTAACAATCAAAATATCATCATAAAAATTAAAGTTAAACAAATAGGTAGAAAATTAGTGTTACAACATCAACTGACCATTAGGTAGAATATGTTAGGAGTGCTGCACATCAACTGAAAAATAAGTAGAACATGTGAGGAGTACTGCTACATTGAATGAGGGTTTTGATATATATATATATATATATATATATATATATATATATATATATATATATATATATATATATATATATATATACATTAGGGTGGGTCATAAAATTTTTTTTTCTTGTTACAGGCTCTGAACATTGCTAGAAAGTTTTTTTTTTATGTACTTCCACCCGCAACTATAATTACAAAAATTAGCAGGCTCTATTATTATTCAAAATAAAATTTTTTCTAAATTATGTGATGTAGGTACTCAAATAAAGTGAAATTTTATAAAAATTTCAAAAATAATAATTTTTTCATATGATAATTATTATTTTAGATTTTATTGCTATAGTTTTTTTAACTAAAAGTGAAAAAGATGTATTTTTACATGTTTTTAATTACATATTTTTTAATAACAATTTTTTTCGGCAATATGATTTTTATAAAACGATTATTATTTTCGAATTTTTTATAAAATTTCGCTTCTTTTGAGTACCAGGTTGACCTACTTTTGAAAAACTTTTTTTCTCCAAAATATTAGGGTACCGGTAATTTTCCCAATAAAGTTGCGCCCTTTAAATCTATCACAATCATTCTCATATTTGATAGTATCAATATTAATAACTATTAGCAATATTTAGAGCCTGTAACAAGAAAAAAAAATTTTATGATATATATGTATTTTATATAATACATATATATATATATATATATATATATATATATATATATATATATATATATATATATATATATATATATATATATATATATATATCTTCACGTGTATGATGAGTTTTACCTGCCCCAATATTTGGTATGCGACATGAAATTTTTAAAGTAATCAAACACTCGATTACTATATATCATTAGAAAGACCTTGAAAACAGTATTTTAAAAATGAAAAAATTATCAAAATTGAATAATTCTACAAAAAGTTATTTTAAAAGCGTTTTAAGTACCATTTTTAGATGGATTTATTGAAAAAACCCTGACCAAATTTTAAGTTTTTCTTAACTTAAGTGCCATAACTTTGTCAATTCTTATCAAAATTCATAAAACATGGTATCAAAAGAAAGGTCTTAAAAAGGAGAATAAGGATACATAAAAGATGTATGCAAGATGTTAGAAGGGCGTCTATAACACCCTTTAATATTTTATTGAATTTTTAATTTTTTTTTTTTAAATTTTATTTGTTTAATATATACTATTCAATATTATTTTATATCATAATATACATTTAAACATTATTAAAGTTTAAATGTTTATTATGATACGTCCTCCCCCAACTACCCTTGTGTATAGTGTAACTTAAGTCAAAAATAGGTACCTATTTTGGGTGAGTTAGTAGGGTGTCTGGGGGTGCCTTTTTTTTCATAAAATTTGGCAGGTAGCAAGAAAAAAGGTTTTTGCTGATGTCTGAATATATTAGAGAAAAGTCTCATTCCTTCAATACATACCTGATGCACAAACAACACAGAAGTTTTAAACAACGGTAAATTCATTATAAACAAAATTTTTCAAAAAATATTTCCATGCAGAATTAAAGTTAAACTATTCTAGTACTCAAAAAATATCTATGTTGATACAGATTTCTAAAAAGATAACATGCTCATATCATGTCACTCTTTAAAAAAATGAAAAAAGGGTGGCACAAAATTTGGACTCAGAAAACGGTTTTGTTTAGGTCAGATTTACGCGTACCTACTAATATAGAGTAAGTTTAACATCATGGGCAGGGCAACATATAAATAATATTTCTATATACTGAATAAAAATATTATAAATATATATTAATTTTAAATTTGTCTGATAAATCTAGTTAATTGTTATCGCTGCACTGGTCACCTTTGTAGTCAAAGAGTTTAAGGATGAATACATAATTATGGAAATTGAAAACTTTCGTAAACATGGAATTCACAATTTAGTTTTCTCATTAAGAATGGATTCTTTTTCTAAAGTTAATGTACCTGTACCTCCAACGGATTCCTACATAACACAAACCAGATTGAATCATATCAAGGAAGCCAAAATGATAAAGCTCCTTATAGAAATAGTTGCTTTTGTAATATATGTTGGACTGTGTCTGTTGATAGTTTATGGGCGTAGAGATCCTCAGGCTTACTATATGACTAAAGATCTAGAAACAATTTTTGATAAAAGTAAATTTGACAAGGTAGATTATTTGTTTTATTTAATTGTTTTTCTATTTTGTCTAAGTTTCTTGTACTAGATTTTTTTTTTACATCTAGTTTTAACTATTTTGTATTGTTGCTAAGTTTAACATTAATCCTCCCTTCACTTTTCTAGAGTTTTCCCGCTCAAGTCAAAATTACTACTATATTTAAGTATTTTTACTGGGAGATTACATCAATGTGATGTAAATGGCACTAACATTCAAAGTAACATTCAAAGTTTTTGACAAAGCATTTAAATGCTTTATCAAAAACTTTTATCTTTAAAAATGCTGCCTTGAAGCTGCACAAAAATTAAACTGTTAAAAAAAGTAAAATTAAAAAAAAAAATTGTTTTAATAGTCAATTTTATTGGCCTCCACACTTGTGCTTTAAATGTGGCACTTTCTGTCAAGCAATATCCAGCAATTATGGTTTGATGTACATTCACTTTTAGGTGATTGTACACCAATTAGTTTGTGTTATACCTTATCTATGATTTTTGGTAAAAATGTTCTTATGTATCTTTCTTTTTTAAAAGTATGCGTATTTCAAGAAAAGGAAAATATTGCTTTTCATTTAAAATTCTTTTCTTTTTATTATTGATTATTTTGAAATTTTGATTTAATTTACCATTTCTCTTTATTATTTTTATTATAAATTTTTTAACTTTAAAATAATCAAGATGGAATTTTTTTTTTCTGTTATGTCTTTGGTTGTTTTTTATGTCTCCAAATTGGTTTTTCAACATGTTTCACCAATTATTGGAATTCCATAACTATATTTCTTTTTTTCTGTTCTTATTGTTAATTTCCATTGTAAATCTTCCATGAATTACTTTGGAAAAACAATGTGCCTAATTGGTTTTGAATTAGAAAGTTTGATGTTTTCATGCACAGTTATACAACTTGCTATCAAGCAAGTTTTTCCTTCACTAATTGTTTTTGCAATTTTTTCAGAAGTCAAGACACTCAGAAGATAATTGAGATTTCAGATAGTCATTCAGCTTTCCTTTAGTTAGAATTTTTGGTCTATCGATGATTGAGATTGGGCAATGGTGTTTTTCATCAAGTTTGAAAAGCTCGTAATATTAAACTCTTTGGAAACTTGTTTGAATTCACAGAGACTTTTTTTTTTTTGTACTTTTTAAAGTAATAACAAATAATCAATAATAAGTAATAAAAGTAGCAAAAAAAAAAACTCTTAGAAAAAAAACTAAAAGCTTACATCCACAAAATATTATGTTTGTTCGTTTTCTATTCAACTATTAAAACTATGCAGTGGTTTTATTATTTGCAGTTTTTTTTTAGTTTTTAAGAAACTATTTACTATTTTAAAATCTTAAGAATAAGCCTAAAATTTAGTTTGAATATGATGAAAAATTTTGTGGGAAATTGTCGAGTATTTTTTCAAATAGAATAAAAATTTAGAATCATATAATTGAAAATTTGAATTTTAGTATGTTATTTCAACCGAAAAGTTTGTTTCATACTGAATTTAAAATAAGTTTCAAAATTGCAATTACATTTTGGTTGATCAAAAAATTATTACTAAAACTTATTAAACTTAAACCTATGTTTTATTGAAGAACTTCCTGATCTCTATTCATTTAAAACATGTTTTGTTCTGTTCTTTATTCATTTTAATGTTAATGTTTTTTGAATTATTTTAATTTTGAATTATAAATATTTTCTTTTAATAAATGCGTACACTATATAGTACAAAAACTTTTTTTTACTATAAATATTGGGTGATTGGGACTTTTTGGCGATATCTGTATAAAGATTATCATTTGCTCATATTAAATTCGCTCTTAACAAAACATTCTAAATAAGAATTTTTTTTCTTGAAAAGGTAATTTTTCTGATTAGGGGTCATCCATAAAGTACGTCACGCTACTAGGTGGGTGGGGGGGAGAGGGGAGGCATAATTTTGTGACTATTTGTGACAAGGGGGAGGGAGCTTGATAAATGTGACGTCACAAATATTATTTATCATGACAGTTTATTTTCTACATATTTACTCATTCAATTAAATAAGTGTTTCAGATTTTAAAAAATTTTACTCACACTTCTCGTGTTATGTGTATAGCCGTATTTTAAATAGTTTTAAATAGTTTAAAAAGTTTGCAAAAACTGCCTTCATGAAGACATTGAAGCGCAGCTATGCAAAATCATTAAATTAAGAACGTATAATTTAAGTTTAGAATTTTAAATGGAGGGTTTAAATAAGTAAATAAAACATATGATGAAATATATTATCTTTTATATTATTTATTTTTTTTGAATCTTATGAAATCATATTAACACTAGAGTTTTAGTTACATTTACATTTAAACAAGAATATATAACTAAATAAATATATAATACATGATAATTAAATTAAATAGACTTGCTCATACTTTAAATAGCCAATAGAAAACACAGATTATTATCAAATAAAAGTGTAAATAGGATAGCTAGTTAGCGGTCAGTACAACTAGTATAAAGTTAGTAGTAATTTATATTATGGCATAAATGCAATATTTTTAATTTCTCTAAATAAGTGCAAATGTGTTCCAGTTCCATCAAAAACATAAGGTTCAAATAGAAGAACTATTTTTATTTTATTATGACGATCTTTCCCAATAAATGAAGAAGGTATTCCAAATTAGTCTTTTTTATTCTGTTAATTAGCTATTCAAGGTTGCTTTTGTGCAATCAGGAGCATTGAAATTTTAACTACAGCTTTTAAAGTGCGTGATAAAATGAAAACTAATTATGATAAAGTTCCAATCGAAGTTATAGCAAGACAGGAAGTTATGTATTTCTACAAAGAATATGCAATTCTTCACAGAGATATTATTTTTAACACTGAAAAAAAAACTGTCGGACAGATTTGCTATTATTTTTTCTAAATATTATTAAGAAAAAATTCTTGTAGTTCAAAATATAAAATCAGGTGCAACTTACTCACAAACAAAAGAATGCATTAACCCTTTGCACCAATAGAATTAAAGTACTGCCATTGCCCTTGAAAGTCACTATTTGCTTACAGACATCATTATCATGAAATTATCACTACCAAAATCTGGGATTTGTTATTTAGAAAAGATAGATCACCACATTACTCCTTGATAGAATACCAGTTACATTACTCCTTGAACATTTATGCTAAACTTAAAAAAAGAATTAATAAAAAGTGTATTATCAGTCACCGATAAGAATAAAAAAACTACTTTAATTTGTCAAAAATTAGCTTTAGTTTTATTTCTCACCATAATATAAAACTAATAAGCAGAATTTAACCCTTTTGAAATAAAAAATGCGCATTTGACTGCAAGTGACACAAGAATTAAATTGCTTCTGTGTGTAATTTATGCGTGTTCTGTAGAAAAATTTCCACCTTTTATAACAATCCCTCCGCCCATTTATTAGAAATGGACTACAACTACTGCCACTCTTCCCTCCTTCCCCCCCCCCATCTTCTTTAAACTAAGCATGCAAGAGTAGTTATATTTTGAACTAAAACAGCATCTAAAACAAAGTCACAAAAATTAGCTTCTGTTTTAGAAGTTGCAACTGTATTTGATAGTATGCATGAGTGATAAAAATTAATTTGTTAACTTTAACAGTAAAACATTGATTCTTTATATATTTTAAAAGTTCATTAATTTGCAAGATTTCATCAATAATTCGATTTATTTTTAATTTTAAACGTTTTACTTCTATTATTCCTATAATGTTATTAATAAGATCATAAGTAAGACCATCAGGAATTGCATATAGATGAGAATAATGTTCGCGTATCCAAATACCACTAGTAACAATTTTTGTATTTGTAACAATTCATATTTTGTAATTGTTATTGGCTCTTGTTTTAAGTATATCATATCAACAGTTTTACATTTTTAGGAAACCAAAGTTTTTTTTTAAAATAGTTATAGCACTGTTGCAAAGAAAGTTTTTTGCTATCCAAATTTCCGCCTTTGATTGTTATACTCTTGCTATCTGAAGCTGTTATACGAAACCTCCTAGCCTAAAATCAATTTTCATAGTTAGATGCCTGATTAGAATATGGTATTTAAGCAAATAGTTTATTTTCAGTAATAATGGCTTTCTTATAGTAAGAAATATATGCATATACGAACCATTTGTTTACCTGAATGAATATCAATCCCAGAATTCAAAGTAGTAAAACTTTTTGACGTTGTTCTAACTATTGCAAACTAATTCTCAAAAAGGAAAAAAAAAGAAAAAATATAAACTAGCTTTTAAAAAACATTTATTTGTTGTAAATTGATGAATGGTTACCTATTATATAATAATACTACCCGGGCAGTAGCTAATGGGCAGGTGCCCGGATACCCGTCAACAGCCTTAACAAGCAGCAATCAATCAAATCGATTTTCATAGTGTATTGACTCACTGGTTCACACTAGTTACAGCGATTACTAATACTAATAAATAAATCTGCAGAATCTAAAATTAAGGAAATCAAAGTATTTTATTTTCAGTCTGGTCATACCTGCATGTCTCTGGATTTATATTCACCATAATGTTGAATATGCAACGAAAAAGAAAATAATTCTTTATAATTTTGAAGATTTTAAAGTTTTATTTTAGTCAACTTCTAAAATTTAATCATTAAAAGACTGCGATTATACAAACTTTTATGTTTGCCACTTACATGATATGAAGCAATTAAAAGTTGTGAGAGAAAATCTAAATCTATTTTTTCAAAAATGACTACAACAATCACCAGAATTGAACTTCAATAAATGAGATTTTTTAAAGAAACCAATAAAAGATTTCCAAAACAAAAGCGAATCACGCAAGATCTTGGTATCAAAAGAATAGAAAATTTGATACAATAAAAAAATGAATTCCTAAGGAAAAGTTAAAGTTCTGCAAAAACTTAAAAGTGTTCAATTAATTTTAAAAACCTTTCATCAATTATTTAGAAGAAACTAAATATATCTTTTATTATATTTTTATTTTGTGTAAAAAAGCAATTATATTTT